CACTTCTTTACACAGCGTGTAGTTAGAGTATGGAATAGTCTTCCTGCTAGTGTAGCGGAAGCTAAAACCCTGGGTTCCTTTAAATCAGAGCTAGATAAGATTTTAACAACTCTGAGCTATTAGTGAAGTTCTCCCCAAACGAGCTTGATGGGCCGAATGGCCCCCTCTCATTTGTAAATTCCTTATGTTCTTATGTAATAATATCTTCTCCTCCTGGACAATTTGTTAGGGAAGACCTTTATCTTCGTAAAATATGGCGTCGGGTCCAGTTTTTGGCCAACAAGTTCTGGATGCGATGGAAGAAGGAATACCTCTTTAATCTTCAGTGTCGGCAGAAGTGGACCAAAGACCAAAGAAATGCACGGGTTAATGACATTGTTCTACTGGATGACATGGCTCCATGCAGCCAGTGGAAGTTGGCCAAGGTCACTGAAGTGCTACCAGGAAGGGATGGAAGAGTGAGGAAGCTGAAGCTGTTGATCAGCGATCCTATACTTGATCCAAAGGGTAGACGTACTTCCAAGCCAACTTACCTTGAACTTGTACAGAAGACTGTCACACTAGTGGAGGCAGATTGAGGGACTGTATTTGCATGTACTCTCTATTATTTTTAGTCTGGATCTGTAGCTGATCTTAAACAAATAATGAAAGAAGTGTATGAAAGATGTAGTTAAAATTGACAGTCACTTCGTGTCTGCGTATAACTGGGGAGCTACACAGCCTAACTAGGTGCCAGTCCAAAGCCCAGATTAATTGGGAGGGTTATTGTCAGGAACAGCATTAGACTAGTAAACTAGAATAATGAGCATAGATAGGCCTGGAGGAAAGATGCTGATGAAGATGAACATATAATATACATAGACTGTTTATAATTAGGCCTACAATGGCACTCTGCTCTGCAACTGGCATAGGTAGGTCCTAGGTGTGAATTTGTAAAGGGGGGGGGGGTTTCATGGTCCATTTTTACCACAGGGCCCAATATGCAATTGTTACTCCACTGCAGTCATTAATGCAGACTCTTAGACCTAGATATAGATGCAGGTGATCAAAGTCCAATTGTTTTAATACAGTATTTAATGTTGCAAAGCACAAAGTTATTGATATGTAAAGTACAACTCTGTTCTTTTGATTTTAAACATGATGTGTGCATCCATCCATGGTACCTGCTTGTCCTCTGCAGGGTAGTGGGGACCTAGAACCTATTCCAGTAACTACAGGCACAATGCAGGTCATAAGCCAGGATGGGATATCCATCAATCAAAGAGCACACACAACATTTACACATACAGACAGTCTGACAATTCCAGAAGGAAACCCCACAATGACACAAGGAGAACATACATACTCCACACCACTGTTGCCAACTCCTCAGCAAGGAATGTCGCTATTGGTTGTCCCAAAAGTCGCTAGAAGTCGCTAAATGACGCCATCTCCTAATTTTGCATAATGTGCATGTAATTATAATGGACGCTGTAGGAGAGAGGAATAATGTCGTGGGAGAGACAAAAGGTGGTTAAATAAACACCCTAAATACGTTTAGAACTACAAATGAACTTTATTCTGTCGATTCTTCTTTTTTTACATCATAATTCCAACCCTCTTCCTATATCCGGGCTTGGGACCGGTAAAAATGACCCCAAAGAGACACTCTGGCGGAATTACTTGTTCTTAAAAACTGTCATACTTGGCGGAGTTTTTGGCAATAAGCCAGGGCAGGATCAGCCAGTGGTGGCTTCGCGCATGCGCAATTCATTTGCAGTCTGGACGCGGAAAGGTGAACATTTCCTGCTCTGACTGCAGCTGGGCGGGGCTGCTGCGTGAGGACTGTTCGCCTGTGAATGCTTTGGGACGGGAGGGGAGCCCACGGTAGCACCCGCTGCTCGGTGAGGAGAGTAAGAACGATACGTGCTTCCACGTCAGAGTCTCCAAAAGTCTCCAATAACACCAGAAAAAGTCGCTAGATTTGTCGCTAGTCGCTTTTTTGAAAACGAGTCGCCAGAGAGGTCTAAAAACTCGCTAAATATAGCGACAAAGTCGCTAAGTTGACAAAACTGTTCCGTACTGCGGTAACATCGCCGCATTTTATGTTCATGGAACAGCATTTCCCAGAATGCTTATAAACGATATGTATGACGTATGCCGGTCGCCTCGTGACTTTAACGGTCACGTGATATGCTTGTGCGTCAGCTGACCCGCAGCTCTGCTCTTATGGGATGTGGGTATACAGATGCAGGGCGACTGCTAAAGATGATCAAATCCATAGAAAAATTACCTGCAGCAGAATGTCCCAAAGTAAGTGTGTCCATTATTATTAGTTGACTTAAAAGCCAGCATATGTAGTCCAAGGAAAAGACGGTTATATATTGTGTTTAATGTTTTGACCTCCATATACTAGGTAATAGCTGTGAGGCCGAGGCAGGCGTCACCGAACATATTCTGCGTCGGATTGAGGAGCTCGACGGATTTGTAACAAATCCGTAATGTATGTCCGAGTCAACAAGTGTATTCAGATGCAGCGCACTGAAGAAGGCACGATTTACTACCTAATAAATAACCTTAAGCAATTCTAATACTGAGCAGGCTTTAATGATTTTCTGAACATTTAACTTCTAATATAATCGGTTTGAAGGGAACTTCAATAGTTTTGGTCGAATATTATTATCTATAAAAATATTGCTGTCGTAATAGATAGGGCCAGTAAATTATATCACAACTACGTAAAATCTCTCGTCTTAACGATTTATTAGGGTAAACGCGACTTTAAATTGCACACTTGTATCTAATCGCACGTTTCCACGGCTTCAGTCTGTAAAGTTTTAGACCAATCCTATTTTTGTGGACAAAATTGTTAAGGCTGCAAGAAATATTCAGTGATTTCAACAACTGGATGTCTGTAATAATAATAATAATAAACCTTGCAATCAATTTGCTACATCTTCTTGGACACTACAACAAATGGGAGATTTAGTACTCCCTTTAAGGCCGTTTATTTTATTTTAAGGTTTATTTTATTTTAAGGTTTCCTGTTGGTTATATACAGCACAAGACCTGTCAATGCACCCATCTGTCATTGCATCGTGTTACAATATCGCACTTCTCTGCCTCATAGGAGGGGGTTGTTATCTTGTGTCCAATTAACTCCGTAATGCGAAACGTTAGTGAAGTTAGAAATAAAACTTGTACTGGTGCATGTTTTACAGGATGGAGGTACTGTATATAACTAAAATTGGTGTTTCAAACACTAGGGGGCACAAGAAGCCTTTGGAACAAGGTTGTAAACAATATTAATAATATTTTTAGGAAAAGAACAAGTAGTTGTTAAGGTTTCCGAAAATAAAACTTAGCATTTTAATGATTATGTTGCCCGTGCATTATCTGAGAAATTAGAATGTTTATTTATAGAATAGAAGGTCAGGGAAACATTTCTTTCACATGTCAGTTCTGTCTCATGAATCACCTATGACTGTTATAATTTATAAGACGTTCTCAGGGTTATTATGTAGTGGTTTTATTTGAACTGTCGTGTTTGTTTAGATATATGTCATGTTGTTGATGATATTTGGATTGTAGGGAGTTTGAAGCCTGTGTCTGGAAGCATAAAGTACTCTCTTTCTATCTCTCTCCATAGAGGACCAGTATTACTCACAGAGCCCATCTGCTGCCTAATAATAATTCCGACTGCAATAATTATTTTCCGTAATATTCTGAAGTATTTTGAATAAGAAAGTTGCATTTTCGCAAATTGGCGCGATAGCGCCACATAGCAGCACATTGATTTAAACTGCGCTGGAACTGCAGTAAAAAATGCAAAAACGAGAGATGATGATCAAGCAGCCATTAAAATGCAAAACTGGCAGCGGTGTATATGTTTTTACACAAATATAACATGGCATTGCATAACTCCACAGCTTCCAGGAAGGAGCATTGCTACTTTCAAAGATAGTTTTTAATGTTTAATTTCCTTTATTCCAAGTGTAGATTTTGTGAATCTCCCCACTGGGCATGTGCAAAACAGTTATTTTCATTATAAACCAGAATATTCTGTAGAAGCGCATGAATATGCCAGATCACTGATGAATCCAAATGTGCCTGTGCTTTTAAACACTCTGCATTGTACTTTTGGTATGTGGCCTTTGAATCACCACCCATTGATCTGGTGTAATTTACATTATTACAAATATTTTACTGTATTAATACTAGCAGGTTGCTTATATAGTTAGTGAGGCTCTGTAGCTTAGAATGCCATGCCTGTGATCAGAAGGTTGCCGTTTCAAATCCTCTAGCGGGCAGGTGACTTTGATTTGAATTGACGTCACCGTTGGGCCCCTGAGCAAGGCCCTTGGCCCCCAATTGCTTCAGGGCACTGTCTCACCCTGTTTCCATAGCTGCACATTGCTTTGGCCAAAAGCACATAAAGAAATGTATATTAATAAATCAATGGGTTTCTCTATAGGATAGAGACTGAGGTTTTCTTTAAGAAACCAGAGTCGCCAGCAGGCAGTGCCAGTGATCTCACAGTGTCACCTCCTCCCCACTTTCCCAGCATCCCAGTGTATAATGTACAGGCCACTGTCCCCATCCACCTTTGGTTCAGGAGTTCACTTGCTGCTTATCGGCAGAAAATAAACACAATATGCACATAGCTCTCCATTTTCACACAGAGAAATGGCCCTTATTAAGTATCAACACCAAAGGACTGACACGTTTGTTTCATCTTTTCTGATTGTGAAATCCAACAATCAATCCGTGAATATTTTAGGGATATGGTTAGTCATAAGGTTTTTCTTTTTAAGTTGTTCTTTGATGAGTTCAAAGACATCATACTGGATTCCACTGATAAATATTTGGCTGAGGATTTTCATGGAATAGTTGTTTTTTGTACTGTATGAAACCTGAATAACTTGCTCCTTATCTGAATGGGCTGTATTAGGTTTATAAATTTGATGCATAGAGCTCTTTGGTATTGGACATACATAAGTAATGTGTCCTGATCTGAAATGCACTACTGTGCAAAAGTCTTAGGCAGTCAATGATATTTAAATTTTGATGTTGGTGTAAAACCATGATATGTCAATCATGGTGTGTTAACTTAAACATTACATAACCTCTCCTAAAGTCTGCCCAGTATTTTCAGCAGCAATCCAATACACCAATGTATTTTTTGACTGGACCAGTAGCACACCACGTTTAGGTAATCCAGTACCTTATGAGTTATTTGACAAATTAGTTGAATGAATTAATTGAATTGGTGGTGAAATCTAACATACAGCAGTGCCTGCGGTTCACGAACACTGGTCCACAAACAATTTGGTTTGCGACCAAGAATTTCATGAAAAAAATGCATTAGTTCGCATACAAAATTTGGTCGCATTTGAACCCTTCTTATAAATCTTGAAATATGTTTTTTTTTCTTTTAAAGGGTCACTATACATTTAAGTAAAATACTGTGCTATAGCATATTATTTGGTCACACACTGGCTTTGTCTCATTTACCACACTTAGTCCACACTTGCACACAACCACACTTGGCCTGTGCTTTCATGTACTTAGCTTGTGTATTCGGGGTTGTCCTATACCTCAAATAAGCCAAGGGCAGTGCCCCTGACATTCACTTAATCCACACTTTGGCAGATACCACATACTACCAGTCTTTGGCAGGTATGTTGACCAAAATGTACCTTTCTTGTTCACCTCTCAAGATATCAAGTGTGTCTCATTGCTTTCAAGTAAACCCCACTTACATTTGCACACTTTGTGTCTTTCTTCAACATACTGTATGTCACCACAGTATGTAGTATTTCACCGTACTTGCCCTTAAGTGTGCTGAATGGGACAAAGCCACAGGATATTTTTCAAGCTAATGTGATTGTACCTGCATTGCGTGTGGAGTTCAGTTCTCTCTGTGTTGTTAGACTATCTTGGATCTGGGTTCATCCCACTGTTCATGAGAATTATTGGTGTTAGATTTTTGGAATTTATTTAGTCTTTTGTGATGGACTCGTCCTTCCTTTAGAACAGGCCTGGGTGATTATTTTGTGTGGAAGGCCAAATCCCAGCTGCCCTATGTCAGCGGGGGCCATTATTTAGCAATGATTTTCATGTCCCATGAAAATGAGGAAGACTTGTTAAATTTTATGCCCCCCCCCCCCCCTTTTTTTTATTTTTTAAAAAAGAAAGAAAGCCTGCATGTAGAAATTAATAAATGAATTTATTCTGGTTGTTTTACAATAACGTCAAAATCATAAGATTCCACTTATTACAGTCCATCATGCAAATGAAATCCATCAATATCAGAAAAGCACAGAAGTGCAGGCTCTGCCCTCTGTAATCAAACCAAAATTGCAATTTGATCTTAATCTATAAACAATCAATATAAAATATAACTCTTAAAAAATCTGTATTACTATATGTATTTTTAAATATATTTTTTATGTTTAGCATATACTTTATTATTAATAATTCAAAGAGTGATTTTTGCCCACAAAATTGTTCACCTTTATAAAGTGTACCACAGTGGATGGATGTATGGATTGATGAGTTTAATGAAATGTATTGGCTCGCAAAATAAGTTGCAGTAATAATGCATGTGAAGGTTGTGGGTGAATTCCTTGTGTCTGAGCTGCTAGGCCTGTTTGATGTCTCCATGAGTACATGTGGTATCCCGCAACCCCGCAGTTTCTGCACAGAGTGGTCGATGGCGTATGTGGGAGAAGCCCCCCAAAGATGGCGGACTACGGCACCAGGTGGAGCCTGACTGAGTGGATGGAGCTGCTGGACGCACTCTCTGCCATCTTTCGGCTAGCTGTTGGGAAGAACATTCCAGATAAAGAGGTGCGAACCGCCATGTCGTACAGTTTGGCCACTGACTCAACACCATTATTATTGTTAACGAAAACTAAAGCTATAAGAAAACATTTGCTATACTGTGGAAGTAAATAAACATCTGTATAGTACAGAAAAGTTGCCGTCTGGCCAAATGTTTTGCCCATCATCTGAAGCCCTGGTGATAGTCAATTTTGCTACAGTGCAACTAATGCGTTCCTGAAAAACCTCGCGTTCACTAAAACTGCTTATTAAAATATACATGTCCAATTGGAAAAATATGATTATAGGACTGCAACTCCAAAACTTACTAACTTAAATGATACCAGTGGCCAATAATATAATTATATGCATTTTAAATAAGAAATAATAGTAATACATTAATAAATGTAAACATCTCCTATGGGTCTTATAAGTCTCATGAGAAATGCCTAGCATCTGCTTCAGCTGAATATGCTGAATTCGCTAACTTGTCGAATGCAGTCGGGAGTAGTGACAGCCAAAAAGACTCTTCATGAACCAGTTGCTGCATACTGAAAACTAAAATTGTCAAATGAAAGTAGAAAATAATAAACATAAAAATGAGGGTTCAAAACTATAGTTTTATAATGAAAAAATCAAACCTATGATAACACTGTTCCACATAGCAGCAGTGTTGACCAGCACTCAAACCTGTTGCTCACTGTACTCCTGACAGTTTTTCTGAATTGCTAAAACACTGAACCCCATTATCAGACCAGAATTGTTAATTGCCAAAACTCATTTATCAAATCACTCATTTGGCGAAGCTATAAACAGTGTTCACCTAGTTGGACACAATTTGCAGATCTGAATCCCCGTTTTTGTACATTTCTAAACACCTTCTCATTCATCAAAACATAGTTTGTACCGTAATTACGAATTATAATTGTATGCAAACATTATTGCTGAATAATTTTTTGGTTTCCAGTTTTCCAACTTGACATATAAAAGCCATTTTCATGGTAAACATGCTTTTCTGTATGGCAGGAACAATTTTGAGTGGTAGTGTTTTCATTTTTTAGTTGTAGTGTATAATAATTGCTCAGTAGTGTTTTATATGCTAACTGGCTTGATTTGTCATCTGATTGCAGTGTTTGCTTTTGATCGAAGATGAAATAGTTTTGAGTGGATTGATTTTGCAAAATAAGTGAAAAGTTTTGAATTATTTTGAATGTAGCTACAAAATTGGGTTTGTGTTTCCTGTCACTGTTACAGAAGGAAGGAAGGTATCAGGAAATGTGCATTAGCAAATTCAGAAAAACTGTAATCGTTCGCTTAAGGTTATCTTTTGGGTAACGACCAACATACATGCAGGCTTTTGCCTGAGAGGCTCACAATCAAAGTCAAACATCTAAAATTCAGACCCTGTCTTGGGTTTTCATGAGTCAAAGCTGGTCTCTGTTACGACAGCTGTAGGAGACCTGTGATCACCCCGTACAGGGATTACACTCAGTACTAGTGCAGCTATCCCCTGTACTAGAATCTCCTTATCCAAAGTAACTCCGAATTACTTTCTTTTCACAGGTCCATAAAAAATTAGCCCAAAAATAACAAATCCTTACAACCAACGTCTCATTTTAATTTAATCTTAAGGTGAAACTGCAGAGTTCTATCCCCCCGAGCCTCGTCGAGGTTACCAAAAGCATATCTTCATCAAGACGATATTTAGTGTGACATGTTCAGGCCTTATGTGAAGTGCAACTTTTCCTCATAACGGTTCATTTCTTTATGATTTACTCATATAAGATGGCTGGGATAGTACTGACTAAGTTTAATAACGTAGCTGCTTGTGAATGTGTTGTAATTGCAGCAATTGGAGTCACTGTGTGCACACACCAAATAAATAGCTATGTTAATTCTCATGTAATGCTGTTTAATTATAATGAATTGATGCAAACATGGGTGTAACCAGCGGGCTTACAAGGCCTGAGCCCTGATTGTTTTTAGCAATGCCCTGGTTAGTTTGAATACAATCAGCACCACATGAGTTACTGCGCTAATCCCCAGATAACCTGACCCTAGAACTGCCCAAGGATTAAAGTATTTGCAAGAGTTTATATCTCCTGTAGACACAGATGTACAATGAGTGGTTTCCATAGTATTTGGCTTTAAATGATTGACTAAGTAGGTCACTGAAGGTAATTCATTGTCTGTTACGTGAATAGCTAATATACTATAACTGTTATAAAAAAAAAAAAACTAGAGGATTTACTGGCTTTACAAATGTATGCTTAGAACTGAGCCCAGATTCAAGCCTGCAACAGTGGTACCTGCCAAGCCATTGTGCTGACCAGGCTGACAAGCACTTAAAGCTGATGCATTAGACTGAGATATGCGCAGTACTTGCTGTAAACATGATGTCAGCGAAGATTGACTCCTGTTTCCTAGGTTAAGGAGTCTTTGGCAGAGCTGGACAGCAGCTACTCTGATGCTATCTTATCATGCTTGAAGGCCCGACATGAAGAGATCCGACAGTCTCTAGTAGAAAGGACCAATGCTGTATCTTCTGCCGGATTTTGACTGGCAGATTAAGGTATGTCATCATCCTGTGAACCAATCAAGAATGATGGAGTTAATCCTTAGACTTTGAATGGCCATCCACTGGTAGAATCTTGGTACAGCATCTCCATATACTGTTTTCTCATTTTTGCCATTGTGAGAACTTGCAGGACATCCTTGGAGGTGCAAATGGCCTGAGCTGATGTTTTGCATGGACTTAAAGTCCCATTTGGTGTGATTTTGCATCTGAAATTGTTGCATCTGAAAATGTACCTGGTGACCGTTTTTTTTTTTTTAGATCTTCTGTTTTAAAATGTTGGCTCTTTAGACGAAATGTATAAACACAAAAGTTTCCTCTGCAGTGTAGGAGTGTGCGGATCCCTGTGTCCATCCCAGTATGCTTACTGGTGTCCATTCAGTCGCTGTTTGAGTTAGCTGGGACTCTTCTGCTCTTCTGAGCTCTTCCTCCTTTTCCCTGCTGCATCTTGTGTGGCTTTGGTCTGCAGCTCTCTTCAGCTGGTCAGAGTTTTTGAGTTACTTTAATGAGGCACGTATGAGAGCAGCCATTCTTTACTTGGTAGGGATCTCTTCTATATTACTGCCACTTTCAAGTCTCTTCTTGATTGGGGCTTATGTTATCTCCCCATTGACCAAATTATGGAAGTACCTTTAATGACCAGCAGGGGCAGCAGCACACATGAATGCATTTTTTATTCAGCTTTACATGTTAATGAAGTGGGTGCTCTATAACTTGGGGATTAATGCTGTTGAACTCCTAGCCATCATAGATTTCCCTGATCTTACTTAACCTGGTTTAAATCTGCCTGTCTGCATATTCTGAAGCTGATGATTATTATGTTTCTGTTTTAATTTTAAAAAGTGAACAGATGTGGATGTAGCAATGATCATAGATAGATGGATAACTTTATTATCATTGTCATAAAACAACGAAATTGAAGTGCCTCTTCTGTACAACATTCATCCAAGATAACTTAATAAATACGTAAATCCTAATACATTCATTCTTGCCCCCACACCCCTTTCTTCGATAACACCAGAAATGATATAATTTCATTTCAGCATTCACTAGCATAATTGCCTTAGGATAAAAACTGTTTCTTAACCAGTTTGTCCTTGTTTTTATTGCTCTGAATCTCCTGCCTGAGGGCAGCAGCTGAAACAGACAGTGTCCTGGATGTGTTGGATCGTTAAGGATTTTTTTTGCCTTTTCAGAGCAGCGGGAAACAAAAAATTCTTCTAGGGTGGGGAGAATACAACCAGTAGTTTTCTGAGCTGTAGTGACGACTCTCTGGAATGCCGCCTTCTCTGCAACTGTGCAGCTGTTATACCACACACACATTTGGTAAGTTAGTAAGCTTTCAATGGAGCAGCGATAGAAGGTTACCAGCAGCTTCTGGGAGAGGTGGTTCTTCCTAAAGTCTCAGGAAGTGGAGTCTCTGCTGTGCCTTCTTTATCAGCTCCATAGTGTTGGCGCTTCAGGTCAGGTCCTCCTCGATCTGGATGCCCAGAAACCAGAAGTTTGAGACCCTCTCCACCCGGTCTCCGTTGATGTAGAGTGGTTGGCCGTCTGTTTTGTTCCTCCTGAAGTCCACGATCAGCTCCTTGGTCTTTGTGGTGTTAAGGACCAGGCTGTTGTCCCTACACCACCTGGACAGCCGCTCCACCTCATCCCTGTAAGCCGACTCCTCCCCCCTGGAGATAAGTCCAACCACCGTGGTGTCATCTGCAAAATTTACTATTGCTGAGGTGGGCGGGGGTGCAGTCATAGGTGTACAGTGTATAAAGCAGGGGGCTTAGCACACAGCCCTGTGGGGAGCCAGTGCTTAGGCTGAGAGCTGTGGAGGTGTCTGGGCCTACTCTGACCCTCTGGGAGCGACCTGACAGCAAGTCCAGAATCCAATAGCACATGGATGGTGAAAGGCCCAGTACTGTCAGTTTGAACACCAATCATTACACTTTCCACACTCCCTCACACATCTCCATCATCAAATCATAACTGTTTCTGGATTTTGACAAATTCACTGCAAGGTATGGACGCATACATCCTAGGATTTATATCATCAGAGAGATTTCACTCAAACACTCCCTTGTGGTGCAGCGTGATTAATGTGGATTTTGCATGTGCTTTTCCCAGCTGTAAGTAGCCATCTCTCCTGTGAGCTAATTTCTGCTGCCCCGTGAAGCTTTGTCTGTACGGCATGCTGCCGCTTCCTCATTCTTTGAGAAGTTCTGGTCTGACCATGTTATTCCAGAGGTCAGTTTCTCAGGTTACTACTTTGTGTATCAGTGTCATTGCCTCATTTAGTGCCTGTGATTGGAGTTCCATTTTTAATTAAGTTAATTGAGTCTTATGATGATTATTATTAGTTTATCTATCATTTCAGAATCTGCCATCCGAAGCACCTAAGCTCACAGTAAATCCCTGGCACTGTATAAACGTGGCTGTTTCCATTTATAGTGAGGGGGCACAGGGGTGTAACTCCTCTCCTGATTTAATAAAATGTAAAAAAAAAATTTAAGGCTAGCTATTTTGGATATTGTGAAATGTATGAGATTATTAAGGGGAAAATACCAGTTCTCCATGGCTGCTTCAGCATCCAGACATGGGAATGAAACATTTATTATCTTCCTGGACCTGATCAGGACGTCTGTGAGCCCTGTTGGTGGTCTTGGAATACTTGCTGCTGTATCAGTGGTCAGCCTATTGAAGCGTCGTTATCTAACTGAGTACCGTTCGGACTCTATGGAGCTCCATAGAGGATAGACGCATCATCTGCCCTTGGCGTCCTCAGGGAGGCTGTGGGGGAACAAACAGAGTCCAAAGCTATCTCAGTGGAGGCCAGCATTGTGTTAAATGGGGATGTGGCCTTAAAGTGCCCGGTTGACGCACTAGACCTAGGGTGAACCGTGGTGTCACCATAAGCTCCGGCTGCGTGCCAGGGTCGCACCGCGTGACGGACGCTTGGAAGTTGAGGCTTTTCTGTTTTGCCTCAGCTCCCAGTGTAATGAAAGCAGTCCTCACCTTTTTTAGCCCCGATTTGTGGATGTGCATCGGTGGCCAAAACTCTCGGTGTTGCATGATTATGTGAACCTTCGTTTTTCTGTTACTGTATCAACACGATGTTAGAGCCGCTAGTATAAACACTTTCAGGACGTGTGTATCATTAAGCAAAGAGATCAGTATTAAGTAACATTTATTTTTATTATCTCACTGCAGGCTGCGTTCTGCCTCATCCCGTGCTTTCTGTAATAAGCTTTGTATCTCCCCAGGTTAGACTGGAGAAGCAGTCATTGTAAATGAATGGATGGGTAAATATTTAAGTTTTTGAATGAAAGTTTGATGATACCTTGCTGGTGAATGTACTCAGAAAGCATGGAGTAATGGTTTGAAAAGCCCAGCATACCACAGATGCCTCGACACTCTGCTTCAATCCAGCATTTGCTTCACATGATTCTCTGTGCTTCCTGGTTATAGACTTTGCTGATATCTTTGGGAAGCTGTGTGATGCAAAATTGGTCCCCTCCTGCTAGTTAAACTATGTCTGGGGTTCTGGAGACACAACTGCTTGAAGATGATCAGCACAGGTCCATCTGCAGTGTGGCAGATGGCCCAGATAAAGGACGCAGATATGCGGCCAAACGCAGAGTATGGGAAACCTGAGCTGCCATATTTATGTGTGACAGAGCATGAAAACATGTGAGAGTGAGAACGTTGCTGAGAGCTACACATTATCCATTAAGGTTTATCCGGGTGCTGGGAATGGGGAGGAAGACCATCTCTAAAACACCTGTGTTACACATGAACTACACTATAGCATGAAGGTCACTTAAATCCACCCTCTTTGTATGAATATTCAGTGAAACACGCGTCTTTAATTTTACACTTCATCTGTAAACAAATGTAAATTATTATTCTAAAGAGAGCAATATCTTACTTGAGAATAGTTAAGCAGAACTCACAGAATGTACTTGTCAGAGCCAATTTATATGCCCTTTTGTTTCTGTTCAACAATAATCCCCCCCCCCCCAAAAAAAAAGTTAGTTTTTTTCCACAGCTCACATCATGCGACCCGTTGTAGGCCGCCCTGTTGGAGTGCCATGAACTGGCCAATACTTGGCTATCAGTTTACCATTATCATCTTGGGATTTGACCAGCAATTCATTAGAATCGCTCTGGCCTGGAGGAACCCTTATCTCTGAGGTGGAAACACAGGGATTGTCCAGGGACAGGGGCTCGCCGGAAAGCCGTGCCTAAATGAGGTTTCCTCCTCAGTGAGCCAGCCTCTGTAATCCTGCACTCCATCCCCAAACAGAAATAATTATCTTTCCACATCAGCAGTAACAGTAGGACGTCCTTTCCATTTTCTCCACTTCTGGGAAAACTTCTGATTTGCTGAGTTACACCCGCTGGAAGAAGGACCTCTTAACTCTGAAAGCATCAGTAGAGGCCCTGATTAACAGGCTTGGCTAGGAGTTCTCTTATCATTCATATCTGTTGTCTGACTGTTGGAGTCAATGTGCTGGGAGATGTATGTGAACAGAGTATATCCTCTTTAGTAAGAAGAATGGTCAGTCTGGCAGAGAAAAGTATTAAACTCTCTCAATCTTGACTGAAAGTCATCTATTATATGGATGCTTGCATTTTAGGTGCTAAAATGTTCTTCTGTTCTTTTGGTGAAACAGATTTTTAAATCTGCTTTTAATGCCTCGACTGTTTGTATAATCCCCACATTCTGGAATAAGACAGGTCTTCACCTAAACTTGTTCCTCTATAGATACTGCATCTGTTATGTATTCAGTGTGAGTGGAAAGGTGATAGCCCCTTATGTTCTGGCTAGGCCCTGGTTACTGAGAGGGGTGAAAATGCACCCTGTATTGCCACAGCCAACAGACCTGGGCTTACCTCTATTACAGTGTTATTTACTGCCTGCAAGGGGCAGACATCTGTTTATGCTCAGAAGAAGACAACTGGCCGGTGGGACTGCAGGTGCATAAATCCTGTGTGGTTGGAGTGCTGCTCAGTTATGGGAAGCTCTCTGGTGCTTTCTCGCAAGGTGGTCCTGTCCTGGGAGAATCCTGGAAGCACGGAGGCAGACCTGATGGCCGAGGTGTCCTCAGGAGGCCATTTTTATTCTGCATATGTAGTACGCTTTCCCAACAGTGGAACGCTTTTCCTGAACCAGGAAAAAAGCAGCTTGGCTTGTGTAGTTTCCAAACACTTTTTCAGTCCATCTTTCAGACTAGGTCCTTTTTTGTTCAAACATGAACTGCTGGGTGGGGGTTATAGTGATAGCTTGCTAATTGATTGACCACAAGCAGCAACGCCAGGTTTACATTACACAGAAATACAGGGATATTATACTTCTCAATTTTCGTTTTCAGTATATGGAAATGGCAGACCAACATAATAGAGCAAAGGGAAGAATGCACAAAATAGACCGACGATGGTGTATAGACGTTGTTGAGCATTTGTTCAGATTATGATATTCAGAGACAATTTGAATTGTGCAAGCGAAGTGCTAGTTTATCATAAGGTGGTTTTGGCTGAACTGGGGATCAGCTGATCTGACCAGCTTATTATTCAAAATGAAAATAACTGTTGAAAATATACGTAGCATAAAGGTAACAATTCTTGTTGTGCATGTGTGATACGCCGAAGTGGATGGGAACTACAAAAGTTCTCTTTCAAGACAGCCCAGGAACTTAGAATTCAGAACCAGGTTCTGGAACTTCAGTGTAAAAGCGCCTATTGCAATATCTAATACTGGTTTTTCGTGTTCTGACCTTTCCCTAAGATTTTATTCTCTCACATGGTAGTGAAAGCTTGAGAAAGACCCATTGGGATGGTGTCTGTCCTGTTTGTGAACCTGTTTTTAAATGAGTGACTGTGCTAAAAGGTGGATTAAAGATGTCCCAGGAGACCACATTTTTTCATTCGCCTCTGCCTCCATAATAGTGATTTTATGAAACTGAGTGCTGTTAGGTCTGGCCCCTGAACATATGGCCAGACTGATTCCTGATGATTTCCTGTGTGTGCTCCCCTTTCTCATGCTGCCACTGCTCTTTGGTTTTTATTTTTGCCTGGTTGTCTTCACCTTCATTTTGAGGTCCCTGTTCTTTCCTCCCATTTCCATGTTACACACTTCCACTAAGGATGTCACGTGTATATGTGATAGGGCAGTGTGCTTCACCTTGAGCAAGGCCATTACCCCAGTTCTTAGTCTACGCTGATTGATGGTGCCAATGTGTGTGTTCATGCACGGTGGGCTTGTTGGGACTAGTGTTGTTATCTTAAGTTAAAACTGAAACAAACAGAAACTAAATAAATGAAAATAAATATAATCTGTGACCTGAAATAAAAATGAAAACTATATTTTTTTAAAACAGCGACTGACTTTAATCTGCAGAAAGTATCTGCAACACCGCCAATGTCTGTTACCTTGTTTGACCACAGTATTTCCTCTTGTACTTATGTTGTTATGGCTGCTGAGCTACCCAGTTATTCATCCCCACTTCAGTGCTTACCGCTTCCATGATTTGCCAAACACAGTAGCATGTGGTGTGCGCTCCACTAACTAAATTATGAATTAAATAAGTATAAGCATATGACAGATTTATACAGATTATTAACTTTTGGGTGTCACAAAACATTATTTTAGACAGTCTACTTATTGAAATAAAGTCTGTATAGTTTCGAAAAGTCGTTATCAGTTATCTAAAGCCCTACAGTGACATACAGTTTGTTGTTGTCAAAATAAAATCAGCTTAAATTAAAAGTTGGCAGTGGTGTCTTAATGGTTAGGGAAGCGCGCTTGTAACTGAAGGATTGCAGGTTCGAATCCCCGACCAGCAAGGCATCACTGAGGTACCCTGAGCAAGGTACCGCCCCCAAGCACTGCTTCCCGGGCTGAATTAGCTGCCCCCTCCTATGTCACGATGTCATATATGGGTTAAATGCGGAGGACACATTTCGTGTCTGTGTGTTGTGGTGTGTCAAAAATGACCACTGATCACCAAATTCTAAATTGATTATCTGGAGGAAAAATAATCCTTTAGATCAGGGCTCTTCAAATGTGGACCTCGATTCCAAATCCAGGCCTTGTTTTCAGTTCTCCCAGGTAGTTAGTGTAACAATTACTGATTCTGATTGGCCAGAGGTTTCGCACTTGACTCACAGGTAAAAGAAGGCTGGAAAATCAGCAGGGCACGGACCTTGAGGACCGTGATTTCAATAGCCCTGCTTTAGATTTATCAACCAATCAGTAACATAGTTGATAGATTAATCCATAGAAAAATAGTCATTAGTGGCAGTCCCTATGTATGTTGTTAAATTAATGTAAATGTGTATTGAAACCAAAAACCATGTGATATAAAAAATCAGAATATGATGAGCAGACTAGTGACGTCGGCATAACAAATGTAACACTCCTTCTGATTGCCTTCCTTCCAGCTGGCTCTGTCCAGCGACAAGATCTCCACGCTGCAGACACCGCTGCTGAACCTGAGCCTGGACATCAGGGAGGGTGGCGCCGTGAGGCCCGTGTCCATTGAGATGAACCGCGAGGAGCTGCAGAGCCTGGTCAGCTCCCTCGAGGGTGCTAATAAGGTATGGTGTACTGTGATGGAGTCTGGCAGGGAAAGTAATACAATGAATAAATAAATAAGCAGTACATAATTAATGATTAAGTATTAACTGTATTCTGTAGCAGCAATGACTTAATTTTATGACTGTCAAATTGCTGTTTAATGATTCAATAGTTTGTAAGTCATCCCTATGTTTTCAGAATGATGATAAAACTATATGGAATATTTAATTGGATGTAATGTAAATTTATGTAAATGTTAATACATTTTACGCAAATGATCAAACACCTGTTTCTCCTGAAAATATAAATACAGTGCTGTAACACTAACTCAGCAATGCTTGAGTGTTGTGATTAGATTGTAGTGAAGGAATGAAGTTGATGAATAACAAATAAGCAGTAAAACAGGGTTTGTTGATGCTGTTGCTGTAATGGGACACAGCTTTAGACTAGTTCTGACACCAGGCCACTGACCCTTCTTTCTCGGCCGGTTCCAGTATGACAGTGGGATGATGAATTGGAGTTACTCTCTGAATAGCGGGAGCAAGATGGAGGATTATTGGGTCGGTTGATGTCTAGCTATGAAGAACCATCATTATAGGCCAATTGCTGTACATGCAAGAAAAGCTAGAATGTAGACCGCAGAGGTCTAAAAGGCCAAGTCTACTCACATCTTGTGTGCTGAGCGGGTTACCAGGTGCCATGGCAAAAGATCTGAATGCATCTCCATACATTTAAGGTTGTTTATTTCCGTAAAAGCTCAACATCAGCATAAAGAGGAACCATAAACAGCCATTCGAAGATGACACACATGATCACACCCGCTAAAGTCGCCAGCAATCTCTTTCATGGGCTGTGTCTATCAAAACTGCAGCAAATTACTGCTTACTGCAGTAATACACCACTCTACTGAATATATCATATTTTGTATGCAGAAACTAATGAGGCAAGGCAATATGTATTTTGTTTCAGTATGGCCTGTGGTACAGGAAGAATGTAACAGCATCTCGGTGTGTGATGATGCAGTGTTGTTATTATGTTGTGTTTGCAATCGCCGCCATTTCGTATTCAGCAGAGATTTCTCCTGGAAAAATATCGACCATCAGTATGACTAGGGGGTTAGTGAGGGTTTAGAGGAATATAATGAAGCTGGGTGGGGGCTGATGGAGGGGCACGGTGAGATGGATGTAGTGAAAAGCTAGCGAGTGTTGTTATACGTGCTTCAGCTAGTGGGGGGGGGGGGGGGGCTGTCTGACTCATGTGCTACATCAGGTTGCCTGGGGCAACTTGAGTGTTTCTGTTCACATTACATAACAATGCTCTTCCTACAATTCTTGTTACGCCCCCCCCCCCCCCCCCCCCCCCCCCCCCCCGTACACAGTACGCAGTACACACACTGTTATTTGGCCTGTATCATGGTCAGCATGGGTGTGAACAGCTACAAATGCTGATGTTCTCTAAATTGTTTAATTAAAAACGACTGTCTCTATATATGTGCCTGCATCATTCTGGTTATAAGTACTCGAGGACCAGTAGAGTGTTTCAGTTTTTTAAATCCTGTCTTCACTCTGATACATGGTGTCTCTCATTATTCTCTCTCTCACTTTAAATTAAATAGCATTTTTCTGTGCACCTATATTCCTCCTTACGTTTGATCTTAGAATATATGATGGAACACTTGTCGTGGTTGAAAATTGATTTCTTTTTTTGTCAGCTAAGTTTTTCTTGCAACTGTATTGCAATGTGAAATAGGAGGAACTTACTGACATCTCAGTGTGTTTGTTTTGAGGTGATGGGTCAAAGGTTTGGGATTCTAACTTAAAAACAAGCTCCAACAGCAAAAGGCAAAGATAAGCATGATTTGGATTCATCACTGCAGTAAATCAGGACTTGAGGAATCTATGCTCTTTTTAAACCTCCCTTTGTGTGATTGATGATGTTGTTCTACGACATGCTCAACACCAGTCCTCAGAAGCCTGCTGCATAGGCATGTAAAACACGATAATACTTGGCAAACTGCAGTGAGGGCTTAAAAATAAGAGAGGCGTTGGCTTAGGGTGAGGAGGAACATCAGCGGAGAAGAACTGAGTGGAGAACAACTTGATCTAAAGAGCGAAAGACCTTCAGGAGAGAAGCTCCAGTATCTCATCTAGTTTAAGGGCCTGCTGTATAGGGGTGCGACAAAAATCGACAATAAAAATAGTCGCCGACGAATTTAATTGTCGATGATTGTCGCCAGACATATTTTCAAACGGAGTGAGACGTTTTCCTTCCTTTCTACCTGTGCAATACTACCGCTTTCCAATAGACTGCACCAGCTCTTGCACAATAGCATTCAGCGACAGGTAGAAGAATGGCGGCCACAAATCAGGCATTATCGCGTATTAAACGCTCTAAAGTCTGGGACACATGGATTAAAGTTTTCCGTCGCTATGACGGATTTTCGTCAACTGAGTGCACTAAAGGTTATGTAGATCTGAAGAAAAAAAAATGGGGGGCTAAAAGGCTGTATTTCTTTTGTTTAATTAGATTTAATTATTCTTCCTAAAAATAAAAATAAACATTATGGTTTCGGCAGTTCGCTTAAACATTGACGGCTGTGCAGTAGCCTACAGGCTGCAGGCTATTTCCCGACGCATGTTTAAGATGCCAAACTTAATAGTAAGGAGAAAATAATAACCCCAGCATTTAGTGCCACATCAGTCTCAAAGGCTTTTAATGTCCTAAAACAAAGGCGAGATCTGCACAAGAGTGAATGGCACGGGCTTCTTGTTGCCTGGCGTATCCAATAATAATAATAGGGCATAATATTAGGCTAGTAGTATATTTTACATTTTCAAAAAAGATCAGAATATAATGTATTTATGTTTGGAAGTCAGTGGTGTGTCATGAAGTGTCTCATTGGCTAATAGTAGCTAAAAAAAGGTCGGAAAACAGTGGAAAAAACCCATTGCTTAAATAGATAAAGAAGCCAAACTCCGAAGCTCAAGATTCAGCACAGTGGCTCCGATGTCGCAAGTGCTGCAAGAGCTTATGCTCCATTAAAAATAAATAAATAACAGCAGTTTTGAAGTCCGTTTTCTTGCTGTTAACATAGAAATGGCAATGGGAAGCTGCTCTAAATTTCCCTTATTTTGGGTCGGGATCTTGGGATTTTTCAGCCTGCTGTAAACATAGGCTATATAAATAGCTGATATGACAAAAAATTACCGTGCATTTCAACCTCTATACCGTAAATGAAGTACGAATTAGCATATACAGGTTAAAATGCATGATTATTTCTTGTCATATCAGCGCAAATGCACATAAAAAACGTATGCATTTGCACACGTATCGCTTTTAAAGTTGAATACGTACTTGCGTACCAGTTATATGCAGCCCTGATTATAACAAAGATTGTAAAAGAAATTCGGATCGGTATCGGCGCCGATCCAGACCTATTTGACGAATCGGGTATCGGCCATGTGTGACCAATCCACGTCCTATACTTACTTATTTAGTTTTTGGCAATCTCTAAAAAGATAGCTCCTATTTCGTGTTAAATCTATTTGCACAATCAATGGCACGACAGCTCTTTCCCATTTTACATGTGTTTTTTTGTGGCATTCAAGTCGAACAATAACCCCATGCTAAATGTAAAAGCTGGTAGCTAAATAGGAGCCATTTTATAATTATGCAGTTTATAATCCAATTAGTTGACTAATCGTTTTAATAGTCGATGATTAGTCGACTATCAAAATAGTTGTTAGTTGCAGCCCTACTGCTGTATCTTCCTGGAAGCCATGACCAGAGCCCACCAATACCCACCTGTAGTGGGTGGTATCATCTTACACTTTTCATTGGTTCTTTATTAATTTCAGTTTGTAAAACCTGAAGCCTTAATTGACAGTGTCATGCAGTTACTCCCACTAAGAGTACTGTGGTAGAAATCTTCTTTCATTTGGAGACTATGGAATATAATGAAAGAATATGGCATTAGCTGCTTCTGTGGTCGTTTTACAAAGTTGTGATCACTGATGGCTTGTAGAAGCCAGTGAGGTGAATTTACATTGGTTTCATTGTCTAACACACTTATCTTGTCCTCCCCCCCCCCCCAAAAAAAAAAATCCTAACAGGTTGTCCTCCAGTTGAAATGAGGGAGAAGACCAGTGATATTTTCACGAGATCTGAAGGAGGGCTGTGGTAATGTCATACGGAAGATCTGGTGATATACGGCAACAGGGGAGGCATAAGGGTAGCCTTAAACGATCTGCCGTCAATGGACTTGCAACCAACTGTGTCCTGTTTTTGCATTTTTAATGTGGAAAAACAATACATTTTTTTACTGCTGTACCTGGTACTTTTGTGTAACTTAATATGGACCACTTGTCTAAGTCATGCTTAAAACATATAATTGCTAGTGCAATTATAGGTTTTAGCATTTAGCATTTATTTTTTAGTTTTTGATCACGTTAACACGTGCAGTATTTTGATACCCAAATAGAACAATAATATGTGCAGTTTTTTAATAGAGATCTATACTATTGCTTCCTGGTTGTAAGCGTAAGAGCTTCAGTTTGTGAGAATCATTCTAAAAATAAATAGGTTTCTGTGGATTTCAGTGAGGTTCACAATGTAAATTAAAGTCCATTTTCCACGTTTTGCTTGTTGCTAAAACCATCAAGGCCGTGAACCTCTTTTCTTGCTTGATGAATTAATTATACTCCTTGCATGGCTGTACCTTCTTTTTCAGGTTAAGTGCAGTGAGCGTGTCTCTGATGAGGGGAGAATGAGCTTAACTCAAAAGCGCATAACTTTTTAAGAATTGACCCCCTTGTGAACATAACTCAAAAAGTATTTGATGAAACTTATTACCAAAATCATTATATGGATGAAGATCTACACCTGATATAATTTTGTGACAAATCACACAAAATTTGAAGCAGCACTTGGTGGCAGCAAAGGAAGCAAAGGGCAGCTGTAGAAGACACTTGACCTTGTGAACACTGTAACTATTAAAGTATTTGACAAATTCATAAATAAAGAAAAATGATTGCACACAATTAAACATATTGCACAGATGGATGACCCAAATACAGATACAGATATTGCACTGTATTGTAATTGTGGTGTAGAAGACACCAAGTTGCATGTTCTCCTTGTTTGTTTGGGTTTCTATTGCATCCGATGTTTCTTCCCATGGTACAAACACCTGCTGTTAGGTGAATTTGGTCCCTTAAAATTGCCCATGGAGTATGATATCTTTTACATGTGTGAGTGTGCTGGCATCCTTTCCAGGGTGTCTCCTCCCTTTGCCCTGTGCGCACCTGACAAAGCCTTTACACTTTAGTCAGCTACTTACCAGGTACAGTAGGTGTGTCTGAGCAAGGAAATCTGAGAACTGTGTTGGATTCTGGCGCTAGGACCGGAATTGGGGAACCCTGCTGTACAGCATAAGTGGTGATGGATGGATGGATGGATGGATGGATGATGTGTAATGATGAGTCATGCCCAGTCATTCTCTCTTATTGTCCTCTCAGCATTCTTGCCAGCACTTGAATGAGGATGTCTGTGTGGATTCCCTAGGCTTGTGAGGCACTTTCATATCTTTTTTATGGATTTCTGGAAGATCTCCCTGTGAAAGGTCAGCTCATTGAGAGAACAGAGAAAAAATCCAAAACTCAAATTCCCACATGAATAAAAGTCAGTCTGATGGATTGCAGAATATCTCTTATTATTTCTGTCTTTTGAATGCAGGGAAAGGTACCATGGAAGGTAATGGAAAGTTTGCTGCCTGTGAGCACTTTCTAAGAGAGAAAGCCTGTTCTCCATCTTTAATGCAGTTCTGCCCTAGTGGAGGGCAAATGACTCCTTCAAAAATGCATTGCAACGCTCCAGAGATCAGATTATATGTATTATATGTCCCTAGTTGCTCCACAGTAGATTTGGTTCAGAAAGCTCTTGTTCTGGAGCCTCTCGTGGGAGAGCTCTACATTTAAATGGAGGCAGTGTGTGACGTGTGACTCAGAGGTTTAGGATCTCTGTGATCGCAAGGTCGGCCCCAAATGGGCCCCAAATGCTCCAGGGACTGGCTGATCCTCATCTCTCAACTCTACGCTGCTTTCATTAAAAGCATCAGCTAAACAAATAAAACATGAATGTAGTACTAAAATAAATTTGAATATAACTGTTTACTTGTATCAAATTTTCCATCAGAAAATGTAAAATTAGGAATGTTGCGGCATTAAATCTGGCACACTCAGACCTTTACAATCTTTACAATAGTTACATCATAAGCATTCTCAGTCTTGTTTATGCCGTCCCTACAAAAAGAGAAATGCAGGTTCCCCCGTGTCGAGCACCATTGCATAGTGATATACTTCTCAGGTATCTACTTTCAAAGCTTCTGTTATATATTCTACACAAAAAAAAAACATTTTAAAGATTATGAATAACACCCTCTTGTTTACGTATCAATCCTGTATTATTTATTCACGACTTTAATACCCCCAGTTGCCATCTTCATATCCAAACTGACAAACATGTCTCTCAAACTTCAAAGAAGCTAATTTGCCAAAAAAAAATGCTCCTATCCAAATATCTACCAAATCATCCAGCGGATGTGTGTGTCGTCAGATGAGAAGTCAATCCTGAAAGAAATTGCTTTTTGGCCATCTCCTTCATCACTTTGATCCTGGGCTGAGGCTCGTTTGATAAGGGTCGGCCAGTTGTAAATGAAAGTGGATATATCATTTGGCAGGGGAAAAGACAGCCTTCTGCATTATCTACCCAAATAAGAGTCTCCATGTATTGCAGATAATCAGCTGTTAATGAATCTTCACTGAAAATGGGCATGCATATCCATAGCTAAACATCTATGTTATGATTCATATTCTCCTGTCTACTGTCTTTGCATTAATATGAAATAATGCTAATTTAATCTTAATTTAATTCCAGAATTTATTCTAACTGCTCCTCTTGTTCTCTTACATCACAGAGCATTGAATATAAACATAGAGATGAAAGCCTACCCTGCAGTCCAAACGATTGTTAGTATTTAATTATCACGATTACCAGTATCCTGGCCTGTAGCTCTGTGTCATCTCCATTTTCCTAGTGCAGACTATTTCTCAAAGCTCATGTAATTTACAGATAAACATTACATGTATTTCATATCAAAATAAATAAATAAATACTCCTGGAGCTGGTAACATTGTGATATTCTTCACGGAAGTGTGACTGCTTTATATTTCAAACAACCCATTGCAGTTCATATCCAGTGTCAACACCGGCAGAATATTTTGATTTAGTTTTAGTCTTTTGATGAAAGTACAGTTTAGTTTTAGTCATAATTTAGTCATCTATTTTTTTAGTTCTAGTCTAGATTTATTCAATGAAAATTACAGGATATTTATTTGACTAAATGTTCAGTACATGCAGTCACTGAAAGTAACAGGTTTAATACATAATTTCTTTGACTATTTTACTTAATTTTCTGTGCCACACACACATAGACTGGTCTACAGCTATTCTCTACCCAGGTTTGTAATTATATCTTTGTGGGGACTCTTTATTCATTTCTATGGGGAAAACTCCGATCCCAATATGACAACCTTAACCATAAGTAACCAAACATACTTGCATTAAATTCATTTGAGGTGAATGTGTATAACTTAAAGCTTACACTTACTTTATGTAGTTTGCAGAACAATATATGCATGCCATGGACATCAGCCTTGTTGAAAGAAACACAGCAAACATCTCAGTTGCACAGCTTGAAATTGCTAGCACTCTTTTGAAATGCCAAGGTAACCATTATACAGTATATCTATAATAAAGTATTTTTTTTTTCTGAATAGTCTATCTAGTGTGATTGTATCCAAGTAACAGGAATATGACGTCTTGCAATAAATACCTTTAACTTTAAAAATTAGTTGTATTGTAGTAGTAGTTGTACTGTTTTGTGTTTATTTTAGGTGGAGTAGAGGATTGCTGCGTTTCCTGCAACATGCTACACACAGATGCTGACAAAAGCATAACTGACATGCTAAAAAGACAATGATGTATAAGCTGTACATTGACACATTGAAATGCCTCCATTACATTATTTTATGTTAAATTTATTCATAAATGGAATACTTGCATTACTAATGTGTTGTTTTTTCACTTTAAGGTACAATGTGACTTTTGTTCTTGGTAGACACATGTAGAGTGCGCCGGCAGTTATGACAGTACTTTCAATCTAAAATGTATAATATACACTCACCTAAAGGATTATTAGGAACACCATACTAATACGGTGTTTGACCCCCTTTCGCCTTCAGAACTTCCTTAATTCTACGTGGCATTGATTCAACAAGGTGCTGAAAGCATTCTTTAGAAATGTTGGCCCATATTGATAGGATAGCATCTTGCAGTTGATGGAGATTTGTGGGATGCACATCCAGGGCACGAATCACCAGCCTGCACAGTGGTAACAAGGCATGATGGATCCATGTTCTCATTCTGTTTACGCCAAATTCTGACTCTACCATTTGAATGTCTCAACAGAAATCGAGACTCATCAGACCAGGCAACATTTATCCAGTCTTCAACTGTCCAATTTTGGTGAGCTCGTGCAAATTGTAGCCTCTTTTTCCTATTTGTAGTGGAGATGAGTGGTACCCGGTGGGGTCTTCTGCTGTTGTAGCCCATCCGCCTCAAGGTTGTGCGTGTTGTGGCTTCACAAATGCTTTGCTGCATACCTCGGTTGTAACGAGTGGTTATTTCAGTCAAAGTTGCTCTTCTATCAGCTTGAATCAGTCGGCCCATTCTCCTCTGACCTCTAGCATCAACAAGGCATTTTCGCCCACAGGACTGCCGCATACTGGATGTTTTTCCCTTTGCACACCATTCTTTGTAAACCCTAGAAATGGTTGTGCGTGAAAATCCCAGTAACTGAGCAGATTGTGGAATACTCAGACCGGCCCGTCTGGCACCAACAACCATGCCACGCTCAAAATTGCTTAAATCACCTTTCTTTCCCATTCTGACATTCAGTTTGGAGTTCAGGAGATTGTCTTGACCAGGACCACACCCCTAAATGCATTGAAGCAACTGCCATGTGATTGGTTGATTAGATAATTGCATTAATGAGAAATTGAACAGGTGTTCCTAATAATCCTTTAGGTGAGTGTAAATCTCTACTTATTATTATAGAATTATTATTGACTGTTTTTACGGTTTTGTTTGTAATATAGGTACATAGTCATAGTTTCCTGTTATGTACTTTCATTTCATTTTTTCCTGAATTAACTGAGTTTCTTTGTTGTTTATGTTATGGATAAGTAATGATGTCTAATCAATATCCTAATGCACTGCTGTTAGCATTTTGGTGCAGGGATTCTGTCAATTTATATCCACTACACTCTTGAAGGTAGCTTTTCCTGACGACTTGCTAAAATATATAAACTATTTTATATTGCGTTGTTTTTTCATTACATTCTAGGATTATTCGTAGTATATTCCCACACTGGGGCAAATCCTTTTAAAGCATAATCTCTGTACAATACATGTTTTTCCCGTAATGTCTGATTAGAATAGTCAGAGCCTAGATTTGCATATCAGAATGTTACCACCGTTAACAACTACAGATATTTAATTCTGTCAACTTTCATTTCCTTATCAGAATGTTACCACCTTTAAAAACTGTAGGTATTTTATTCTGATTGGATAAATTTCCTTATTAGGACATTACCTCTGTTAAAAATACAGTTTATTCTCACATCATAATTTTCTTAGACTATTTTGCCCACTTTAAAATATGTATGCCAAAATATCAGAACACTGGCATTTATTACTGCCAATTGTACAGCACAGAAATATTGCAGATATATTCTTCAGTGCCTTATTGTGGTGGCCTAATAGAGAAACACAGACCGTGGTGATTCTGCAGAACTGGCCCTAAAGGGGCAAAATTTGGTCAAATTTTATGACAAGACTTTTTGGTTCCAAACTACTTCTGGTTTACAGTGACGGAGGTCACTGTGCTTCTGGGAACTTTCAGTGCATTGGCTTTGTTTTTGTTGCACAATTCTTTGCATTAGTACAATCTTATCTCCAAGGCCTACTCCTTCATGTCTTGGATGTGCTCACACTGTAAACTGTGGAAAAGACTGGTGTGAAGGTTTCAAAATCATCACTCTAAATAAGTGATTTTCCCCACTGGTGGACTCCAGTCATATTCTTCAGATATCTGAAAAATCCATCCGTCCATCTGTCTGTACCTCCGCCTGTCTTCTAACCACTTATCTTTGGTCATGGAGACACATCTCAAATATAATCAAGACAAATGTATTGCGTCTGAGCTCAATTTGGAGAGCCAAATTGTCTGAATACCTCTAAAATTGTGAAAATACAGTTTATCTTTCACAGATGCTCAAAAAGTCCTAAAAACATATCACTATCACTCGTGTGCTCATGGTAAAAGAATTTCAACAAAATATGAAAAAGGCTCTACTTTCTGAAGGCACGTTCTTAAGGCATCGTATGCCATCCATATGGGCTTTGAATATGTTATGGCCTAAAATTCAATATATTCTTTGTCTTCTCTGTGCTAGATCTCTCCACTGATCAGCAGAAGGTGTTCCAGCCTCCTTTGATCTCTCCTCACTGCTCTTCGTTGATCTTCTGTAATGGGAAATGGCAGTTAAAAGACTTGAAGGCCATACTGAGGATAAGTGCTGCAGAATCCTTGAGTTGATTTTGTTCATATTCAGCTGTGCAGTATAAGTCCATCCATTGTCTGTACCCACTTATTCTATGCAGGGTCATGGGGGTCCGCAGTCTATCCTGGAGGCTATGGGCACAAAGCAAGGAATAACTCGGAATGGGGCACCAACCCATCGCAGGGCACACACACACATCACAGCAGGCACACACTTATGGACAATTTGGTAACCACAGTTTAGCATATTTTTGGATTGTGGGGGGAAACTGGAGTACCCGGAGGAAATCCCCGACAACACAGGGAGAAAATTCAAACTCCACACACATGGAACCATGGTGGAGACTCGAACCTTAGTCCCAGGCATATGAGGTAACAATGCCACTGTGCCATCTCCAGCAATACTAAAATTAAGGTATCTGATGTAGATGTGATCTGACATCCATCTGTCCCCAGAGCCTGTGAGTAGTATGGCAAAAGGCTGAAACAATTCCACATGGAAGATTAATACAGTCGGCTCCAGTTAAGTGCACGTCGCTTAAGCACATGATCCTCCTAACTGCACGACCGGTCTTCGGTCCCGTTTTTAGCCCAGCTAAGAGATCGGTTAAGCGCACCAGCGATAAGCGCACGATCCGCTTATGTGCACGCACTCATTTGGTCTGGCCTGCATGTGGCTAATGCATATTGAGTTTGGATATCTGCACGCCTAAAATCTCTAAAATTTGGCTACAGTTAATTAAAGTTTAGTGAGAATATGGCGTCGACATCTCATACGACCAAAACGTTATCACTTGCAGAACGAATCGACGTTTTAAATCGACTGCACAGAAAAGAAAGTCAGGCGGCAGTCGCAAAGCATTTTGGCGTTTATCCTAGCCAAATTTCACGCATTCTAAAAAACAAAGAGCAGCTTCTCCAGAGATGGCAGAATAACACCAACCCTGACAGAAAACACAACCGAAAAGACGATTAAGGACTACTTTTCGTAGTGTTAAACAGAACATTACGCGTTATGTGCTTGGACTATATTATGCTGTCATGCTTGTACAGAATATGTTTTGCTGATTGAGATTCAGTGTGTAGTTCTTGTAGCGTCAGGTTTGTAGCGACGGGTATGGTGGGGGGTGCACTTGATAACCACGTGGCTGGGTCAATACGGATAAGCGCACGCTCCGTTTAAGTGCAAGTTGTAGTCTGGACCGGAGGCCGTGCAATTAACCGGATTCGACTGTAATGGACATACTAAGGATGGGCGAATCCACATTTTTTCTGTTCCGATCCGATTCCGATACACAACTGCCAATACCGATGCAGATTCTGATACAACAGCTCTTTTTACTTTGTTATACTTTATATATAGATTTTTTTAAGCTAGTAAATACAGATGGAAAAAATGTATGACAAAAAATATTTAATTAGGCTACTACAAACATACATAATGTACTGCTCCACCTTGTTTGTACGTCTTGTTTTAAGCGTTTTTGAGGCATTTGCAGATTAATATGAATATGTTCAAGCAAATATACACAAGTGGCGAATGCTTAAAATTTTAACACTATTTTTCTCCCATTGGTGTCAGCTGTTACACTTTGTTGCAATGCCAGCCCTTCTTGCATCACAAGCTTCAGCGAGTTTATAAAACAGTCCAAGTTAGCAACTCCAAAATCATCCATTGCTTTTTTTTTGTCTCGCACAGTAGCGTGCATTTTGTTAAGTGGGATTGTCCATTAAACGCTATTCCCACTTCTCAAAACATTATTTTACAAAGATTGCAAATCGCTGTGCTAGTGGTTTCTGTTAAAAGCGTAAAATACTCCCAGATCGTTACATCTTATCGTATGCTCCTCGTACTGCGAAGGGTATGCACATGACGTTACAGCAGGCGAAAGTCACTGTATTCACACAAACTGTCAGCAGTAAAAAAGACTGAGGGGCAGTGTTAGCGTTCAATTTGAATGCCGCAAAAAAACCTGTGTAAAAGGGGAAAGAGCTGTCGTGCGATTGATTGTACAAACACAGTGGTACCTCAGTACTCAAACTCATTAGAACTAGAACCAACCAGTTCGAAAAAAAATGACCTAGAACTCGATCTGAATCTCAGATGTCGAACCATGAACGCCGACCTAAGATAACATGTATGCGCGGGGAAATGAGTCACGCGGCCCGTCTCTCAGCGGAAACAAAGGGTAACGCTTTTGTCTCAGCCTTGCATTTGCTGTGATAGCATCGTTTGTTGGTGATAGTGCTTTTTTTATTGAAAATATCAGGTAATACACTGTACTTTATATTATTTTGGTAGCCATTGCTCAACAAAAATATTATGCAATAGTTGTACAAATGTTACAGCCTAAAAGTTTGCGATTTATGAACAAATTAACGAATACAGAGTAATAATAAAAATAAACAATGGACCGCATGGCAAGATTCAAGATTCTT